ATCCAGTTTTAGCCATCAATTCATCTTTACTTTGAACAATTAAATCCAAAATACTGAGGACACTTCTTTGTTACTCTGGATACATTGGGAGATTATAGCATCAAACATGTTTTGTTTCGAATTCTCACAGAAACCATAAGAATAATTCAAGAGAACTTTTTTTTCGTTAATTTCGCTTGAAGTAAGATTCTCTTGATTAAACTCGTTTTCGTGGAAGTAAAACCTCTGTATGACGGTACTCCATCTCTTACACACATACTAAATCGAAGAGAGCCTCCTCGTCTTGTTATTTTTTCAGTTTCGTTGGCAAATTCAAATGGATTCCCTGAATAGAATGAATATATGCGCATTTGTATATAAGTTGGTAAATATGCAGACGGGAATGATTCGTTCTTAGTTAATGTAAAGGTTTCTTTGCATCTATACCTGATTTCGTTTGCTTAGTAGTCGACTCAGTTCACCTGATTAGGTATTCTGTTGATTTTCATTTTATGAAATTAATATTCAGTCAAATAACCACCTCTGCTATATATTTATTTAACAATTCTGTATCGATATTTGAAGGTAAGTATGGCACTTTACATTTAATTCACTAGTAAATAGGTAAATACTATACATATGTATTTACCTGAACACAGAGTAAAGTAAATGTGCCACTTGTATTTAAAGATCACAAATACATGAAGGTAGCATTATTAAATACAGTATGGTGATGTTCAAAGAGTAGGTGTAATTGAGTTGTCGTAATGTTAACCTCAATCCAAAATTTAAAAAATTGAAAAACTATTTTGATATCAAGCACACGGCCATCATTTTGGAGTGATTTCTGTTGCTGATAGAACTAAATTAGTATTTTTAATTGCCTTTTCATACAATTCAGTCAAATTAGGTAAACTGAAGCTCGATGATTGTTACTTGCTAGCCAACTATAACACGGTACAATATTTTAATTATAAACAAATGTGTGACTTTATTAGTGTGTAGTGATTTCTTTATTGGATTTATGAACCGTGGTTTGAGACTTGGCTCCTATTGGTATCTTAATCAGTTACTGAATGGATATGGGAGTATTTTCAAGAACTCTTTTTCCAGGCTTCGAAGCTTTTTCATAGACTTGAATTGTTTTTCTTTGATTATTCTACTTTTTGGTAATACTTCCTCACAAACCAAATGATGGTTATTCTCTCAGGCAGTAGTTGGCGTAACCACGACAGGATGAAGAATTTTCTATATTTCTAGCGTTTTAATTTTTTTTCCTTCGGTCATTACCGATAAAGGTCTTATATGACACTCTTCTACTGTCTTTCGATACACAGGTTGAATCTAATTATTGCGACTCTAACTTTCGTTCCGACTTTTGGACGAAATGCGCAATATTGTGAAAGAAACTCCGTTCTGAACCGAAAGTACATATGACAAGAAATGAGTGAAGTCTATCTGAACGATAGTATCATCATCAGTTGCTGCAAGAGCTTTTTTCATACTATGTATCACTGACGAGGGAACCACCCGAGGTGTCAAAAAGCTTTTGAGCTGAAATTTTGCCTACAAGTAGGGAATGCATAGACTAGAAAAAGCCTAAAAGGATATGGGCCCAAGTAGGGATTTGACTGAGATATCGACTATTTACCATAATTTTCCTATAGGATCCTACTTGTCCGATAAAATCAAAGTTTTGAATTTAGGCCTGAAACTTTGTCCACACCAAGGCCCCAATCAGACAAACTTGCCTACAAAGTTTCAGAACTCTTGGATAGACTATCTCCGAGATATGAATCTGCCAAAATGTCTAAGTGAAATATTATATCCATAAAAAAGCGTCTTTATGCTAACATACTAGTATCTCGGAGATAGTCTATCCCAGAGTTCTGAAAGTTTTTAGGCAAGTTTGTCTGATTGGGGTCTTGGTGTGGACAAAGTTTCAGGCCTAAATTCAAAACTTTGATTTTATCGGACAAGTAGGATCCTATAGGAAAATTATGGTAAATAGTCGATATCTCAGTCAAATCCCAACTTGGGCCCATATCCTTTTAGGCTTTTTCTAGTCTATGCGTTCCCTACTTGTGGGCAAAATTTCAGCTCAAAAGCTTTTTGACACCTCGGGTGGTTCCCTTGTTAGACAGTAAAAAAAAAGTCATGAAATAAAAACAAATTAGAAAAGGTGGGGAAATAGAGGAAAAGCGTTGGAGTGTATAAACGCACGAAAAACCTTAGCATTTGTTGTTGTCAGTTGGGATTCACAATTGTGAATCAGCAATGCTTACAAACAGTAGGCATGAAAACGACCAAAATCTACAACGCATACACCGTTAAAAACTTTAGATTTTATGATAGGTGATTGTCTTCATACCACATTTTCCTGAATGTCTTAGATTGGTAATCGGAAACCATATTTGACATTGGGAAACGGTGAAAAGCTTTCTAAATGTTTCTTTTTTTACATTTAGATGTCTACTTGGGATTTGATTTAGAATACAAATAACTAAAATCGAATTGTCATATTGAAAAATATACATTACTCACAAGTAACGCTCATCAACAGTCGATTTGCTCAACTCTAGACTGTGGGACTAGCAGAGAAACGGAAATTCACCTATATCTGTCTACTTCTGTCTATCTATAACAGTTCGTACATATGACAAAAACAATGACATTATGACCATAGTGACATCATCAAAAACCAGAAGCTGGTCATGTCGACTATACATATCGTCCTTCGGACCAAATGTATAAGTATTTAATTATACTTTGGTCATTTATGCCATGTCTTTGGTCGCAGACCAAAGAGATGTCACAAATGATCAATCATTTGGTCTAAATGGCCATCTTGTGGTTATTTATATCATCGCAACGGTTCATTGTACCATTTTTGAGTCAATTGTATCATCCTTATGTTCATTTGTACCATTCCTGTGGTCACTTCTACGATGTGTTGCAGACAGACAGACACAGGTGAATCTCGATTTCTACACCCTATCCTTTCAGTCTAGGAAAAAAGTAAAATTAATTCTATTCATAGCAAATATATTATTATGTTCGATTTTTCAATAAGTCTATTTCACTGTCTACGATTATTTTTCAAATAGGTTTGCAAATATTGAATATGTCATTGAGCATATAGACGTAAGAAAACATTTTCACAACTAATTCATGAAAACTCAGTATATAAATCAATTTCATTATCGAAAAGAGTCCATATCAAATTTGTATAGATTGGTTCGACAACTAGCCATGCAACTTTTCAGATAGAATAATACATCCCAATCATCATTGACATAGAAGCAAGTAATAGTTTTTGCTTAAGCAAATGCAAGATATTTAGCTTTATCTTTAAGATTCTCTTTTGAATTGATTATACGAATAGAGTCTAATGAATGATTATTTTTTTTTAAACATAGTTTTTCCTAAATTAATCTTTGGATTATTATTTCAAACAATCCTTTCTTTGAAAAGATTAGAAAGAAGTAATATGACAGTAATATCGTACATTTGTTTAAGTTCAATCTCGCGTTACTTCGATTGAAACACGTTGAATTCACAGAACTAATGTTGATATAATTGTCATAATTAAATTGAGCATTACTACTTGTAGATTTATTTAAAACACTTGTTCAAGTTTGTTAGGAATTTACAAAAAAATGATGCAATGAAATAAGAAATTGTAATGAAAGCAAGAATATGAATAAAATTGAATATTTTTCTCGCTTTTTTAGTGTGTATTGATATTTTGAAATGAGTATAGAATAATTGCCTAAGGTAAAAACTATCGTATGGTTAAAAATGCTTCGTTTTTTCAGATATTTATAAAGGAAAAGCGTATTTGAATAGAATCGATAAAATACGTTTGTGGATGTGAACATATGTTTTCTCTTCTTCCACACGCACAATCACACATCCACATTCACACCGTCAGCCATCACTACCATGAGCCAAAAACAAGTGCTCGCTTTTTGAAAATTTTCGATGTTTAGGATCAGCCTACGGCGACGCTCTTCCTACACAAGAGCAGCAAAACAGTGTGCTTTAACTTACTTTTTTATTAATAAATAATGAAAATCAAATAAGGATGTGAATGTAGAGTGGATGTGTGCGTATCAGTTGTCTCTTCATCCATACATCCGTATACATATCTCACACTGACATTCGATTACATTCGTATATTAGTAACATGCATTCTAGCTCATTTCCTCACTCTAACGACTGTTTAATTTGAAGAGATTATTTATTAATAGACCTCTAAATTCTACAATTGTGAGTTTCCACACCAAAGCATTTTCTCTAAAAAGTTTTAGAGAAAAGAATGACATATTTTATCGATAGATCCACTGCAAACTACACCATGACATTCCAAGCTTTGATTCAAATGGCTTGATATAAGCTGGTGTGGTTTAATAAAAACAGTGTTCGATTCTTTTGTCAAAGAGTTATCAAAGGAAATCTCTTGGTATAAAGTCTTATGAATGAAGACTTCAAACATTTTTCGATTGATAATCTCTTCAAGTTGAACAATGGTTGAAGTGATTTAGAGTATATTGTACTGATATTAATTCTGTTTCGAAATCCTTCAAAATCAAGAACTTTTAATGAGTCATCATAAGTTTCCAGCCACCACTGCCAATCCATTCATCAACTTATATCTTTATTTTTGAGTGATTCTTCTGTATGAGTCTCCATGTGGAATCCAAAACTATAATTTATGTTCATTTTAGATTTAAATCATTATTTGTCTCATTTCTCTTTGATCAAACTGACATCAAAATCAATAACAAGAGTCCATTAAAATGAATCTAGGTCCGAATAAATCTAATGTGATTGAAACAAAACTATCAAATGTTCGAAGAAGAATGCAAACGATTCATTGCCATTGGAAGATGTTGGTAGTGATCATAATTGGATTCTATTTTATAATTCTATCTTTCTATCAATGTCCTCTTTCACTGCCTTTTTACAAGGGTAAATACATAAATTCAGAAGTAAATTCAAACGTGAAAGACTTTAATATGACATGTGCTGATGCTATTTTAAATTGGTGTATCGAGAACCAAATTGACTTATCAAATTGTTCATGGTCCATAGGAACATTTCGAAGTCATTTTTATACTATGGCAGCCTTAATCAATCCACCGTATCCATATGCAATGAAAAACAATACTGGACTAGCATTTATTCGATTAGGAGATGGAGAAATGATGCTTATGTTTGGAATTTCTGTTCAATCTATTGATCCATGGTCTTGGCGTGGTGGTAAATCAAGATTAGGACAGGACTTGATAAAAGCATTGCATTATCCTAAATATCAATCTAATGCATTTAGTCCATTTTACTATGGAATTTATGATGCTAAAAACATTTGTCCTTTTCATCAATTTCTTACGATGATTTATCAACATCCAAAATATTTAACGTATACAAATTTATTCGTCAATACTAACTATCCCGCTACAAGATTATTGCATCGATCGTTGATTCGAGATCATCGAAAAAAGATTATTTTGATAATTAACAATGGAACTAGTTCGGCAAAATTAGCTGAACTCAATGAATGGGCTTGTGAAATATTATTGTATCCACATAATGGGCCGTTGCTGTGGGAAAACAATCAGTTCAGAGAACAAGCAATTGAAAAAATTGTAACTACAGCAAAACGATATAGAAATCGGTTGTTCGCATTTTCAGTAGGTCCATTGTCGAGAGTTCTGATTCATCATGCTTGGCTTGAGAATCCTTTCAATCGTTATATAGACTTCGGTTCTACACTAGATGAAATGACAAAAAACCGAGTGACTCGACCGTATCAGTCGAATACGGAACTCAGTCAAGATCCAACATATGTTATAAAATTTGACGCAAACAAACGTCTGTTTGAAGTATCAAGTGAAAACTGAAAGTATATCAAGCTCTTCTATCAGTTTGCTTTGTTTNAATAACGATCCTCCACCGATTCTTCCATGTCCAGTACCTTCACCTCCGATTCTTCCACACCCACACCCACACCCCATACCCACACCCACACCCACACCCCATACCCACACCCACATCCACACCCACACCCACCACACCCCACAACCCACACCCCACATCCACATTCACACCCACACCCATACCCACACCCACCCACACCCACACCCTAGTGCTAAAAGTTGGTATTGGCTAACTTTTCACAGGAAGAGTATCAAAACCTAAAATTGTGGGGTTGATGTTTTAGACATTGAAGCATTGAATGAGTAAAAAAAAATCAAAAAAAATTTTTATCGAGTGCTTTGGATACTGGAATGATGCTTGATGTACTCATGAACCCTCTCTTAAACATCATTAAAAGATGACTTTTTTGATGAATTTTAGCTTGCGTACGAACTAAAGATCTTATTAATCCACCATGTGTTTCTATGAGCTACAATTGTTTTTCACAAATAGCTACTTTAAATATTGAATGGGAGGGAGATACCTTGGGGTGTGTCATGGCTCGTATGCTTGTTGATACAAATAGGATTCAAGAAGAATATTTATGGAAATTAGATCTGGTGGAAATTAATTCAACGAGAAAAACGCTGCAATCAAATGTGAAGGTGCTGGACATGGGAGGATCGGAGGTGGAGGTATTGGACATGGAAGAATCGGAGGTGAAGGTACTGGACATGGAAGAATCGGAGGTGAAGGTACTGGACATGGAAGAATCGGACATGGAAGAATCGGACATAGAAGAATCGGAGATGGATGTACTGGACGTGGAAAGATTAGAAGTCGAGAAATCGGAATTGCAGATTTTTAATAAATCTTTAGGTAAGACGATGATTATTTAATTCTGTTGTTAGGAATCGTTATGTACTGATTGATTGTGCTAGAATAACGATCCTCCACCGAAATCGAATTCGAAAATATATGATTTATTTGAGAGAACAGAGAACGTTAGTCAGTGGATAACTCTTTTATTGAGGAAAATAATATAATTAAAATATTTGATTTAATTCTAATTATGTTTGATAATATTTTAATAAAAAAATTTCTTTAATGTTTAGAATATGTTTGGAAAAAAATTACACATAGTAGATCAAATATGTCATCACAGTACGTATACAATATATTTATAAATTCACTAACAAGTTGTTTTATCTAATTTAATTTTGATATCGTTAACAATAAATGTCGCTTGCAGGACTAATTTCTTTTGTTGATCTAAGTTTCGATAAAGATTTTGATCCAATATTTCGATGACAGGTGTAAGTCTGATAACCACTCATGGTATCACATAAAATCTGTTCATCACTTGGAAAGTTTTCCAAATTTTTGAGGACTCAAAAACTAGTGAAAGTCCTGCAATAAGCAAGGAGGTCAATTCAATACCTACTGTTTACTTCTAAAGGCTATCTCAAGATTGAGTTAAAAGGATGAAACTTCCTATAGAATATCACAGCAACTATCTCGAATAGATGATGTAGAGAGATGGATAAAATCTCGTTTTCCTGAATAGATATAGCGAAGTGCACAAACTTTTTGACTACCCTATGTAAATTCTTTAATCTACGCTCATTTGAAAGTACCTCGATTTAAAGGTTTCTTTCTTTGTCTAATATTGACAATATATATACATTGTTTTTAAATATATCAAGAAAAAAATTTTTTTTGAATGACTTTCTTTGTAGAAATCTTTATTCATCTAATACACTTCGAGAAATTACCAACAATGGTCTTAACAATGAATTAGCAACAGCTGGTGATAAACTTGTTATCGTTAATTTTTTTGCCACATGGTTTGAATTGTCTTATTCTTTTACTTTGATTATTAAATAAATGATTTTATTTTCAGGTGTGATTCATGTAAACATTTCGTTCCACATATCGAACAATTAAGTGGTCTGTATTTGAATAATGTTTTTATTAATGTTGATATTGAAAAATGCATGGTAAGATTTAATTAATTTTAATTTATACATATTAATTATTATTCTTTTATTTTAATAGAATGAAGTTCTTAGATATTCAATTAATATTATACCAACATTTCTTTTTATTCAACATGGTGAAGAAGTCGATCGTTTAGAATTTTTTGATGAAGAATATATTGAAAAAACAATTAAAAAATTTTCTAATGATACATCATCAAAAGATATTAGATATGTAAGAGATCAAATTTCTTTATTTTATTATATTTTCAATTAATATTTGTTTTTATATAATAATCTTAATAGTCTACTTTTTCTAAAGCAATCGCTGTTTGCAATCTTGTTAAAAGTGCACTTGGTCCAAAGGGCATGGTTTGAATTGTTTCGTATTTATTATTTTTATGTATGAAACTTGTTTTTTTTTTCAGGATAAAATTCTTCGACATAATATGAGTGGTGGATTTGATGCAGATAAATTATTAATAACAAATAATAGAACAATGATATTATCAAAAATTGATGTTGCTAATCCGGTAGTAAAAGATCTTGTTGGTATGTTTTTTTAATATATTTTTATTTCGATGATTTATTGTTTTTAATTAACAGATATTTCAAAAGTACAATATGATGAAGTTGGTGATGGTTCAAAATCTGTTGTTGTTTTAGCTAGTGAACTACTTCGAGTATGATTTTTTTTTTGTTTTGAAATTCTTTTTATTGAAAATTTTTTTGATTATAATAGGAAACGGAAAATTTACTTGGACAAAAAATTCATCTTCAGACGATTATTACAGGATGGTCGAAAGCAACTAATGAAGCACTTACAGTTTTGGAAGGTGTTCCTAAAAATAATAGGTATGAGAGAAGATAATTAAATAAAGAAATGTTGTCTTTTATATTTATTCGATTAGTTCAAACTTGGAACAATTTAAAAGTGATCTTATGAATATTGCTCGTACAACACTTAGTTCAAAAATTCTTCAAGAAAAAAAAGATCATTTATCGAAATTATGTGTTGATGCTATATTAAAAATACATGTAAATATCTTCATTTAATTTAATAAAAAAATTAAAATTATCTTGTTTAGAATAAAACTGGTTTAAAACATATTCAAATAATAAAACTTTTAGGAAATAATCTTAATGATTCATATCTTGAAGAAGGCAAGAAAATATTTATTGTAATTAATCAAAAAATAATATTTTTATTTTTATTTCTTTTCAGATTTTCTATTAGGAGAACGTATTGGTACGAATATGCCGAAACGTATTGAAAATGCTCGTATTTTAATTGCAAATATACCAATGAATACAGATAAAAGAAAAGTATCTGATTCATCTGTGCATATTGATTCAATTGCTAAACTAGTTCAATTAGAATTAGCTAAAAACGAAAAAATGAAAGATAAAGTTGAAAAAATTCTTCAATTTAGTTGTAATGTTTTTATTAATAGGTAGAAAAAAAATGCAAATTATTTTATTTATATAGAACATTTAATCTTTCTAGACAATTAATTTGTGATTATGCCAATCAATTATTTGCTGAAAAAGGTGTTATGACTATTGAACATGCAGATTTTGAAGGTTTTAAACGTTTAGCACAAATACTTGGTAAAAGAATAAAGAATTTTTTTTTTATTTAAACGAAAAATTAATTTAGATGCAGATATTGTATCAACATTGGATACACCAGATGAAATACGTTTAGGAAAATGTATTCTTATTGAAGAAGTTATTGTTAATGAAGATAAACTTATTAAATTGTCAGGTACTGGATTTTTGTATAGACAAAAGAAATTTTATTTGAGTTGAAAATATAGGAGTAATACAAGGTGAAGCATGTACAATTGTATTACATGGTGCTACACAACAAATTCTTGATGAAGCTGAACGATTAATTCATGATGCACTTTGTGTTCTATCTCAAACAGTTAAAGAACCACGTATTTGTTATGGAGGAGGTTTATTTAAAATAATATTTTATTTAAAAAAATAAAAAATGATATTTTTTTTAAATAGGTGCAGCTGAAATGTTAATGGCTACAGCTGTTTCTCAATTAGCTGAAAAAACATCTGGAGAAGAATCAGTTATTATTGAATCATTTGCTCATGCACTTCGACAAGTAAATTAAATAAAATTTTTATTTAAATCTTTTTTTTTTTGTAATTATAGTTACCAACAATTATTGCTGATAATGCTGGTTATGATAGTGCTAAATTAATAGATAATCTTCGTACTGCTCATGCTTTAGGAAAGTCAGCATTTGGTCTTGGTATGAATTTTTAATTTTTGGTTTTTCTAATCTTTTTTGATATTTTTTTTTTGTAGATATGGAAAAAGGTATAACTGCTGATATGATCGAATTAGGTATACTTGAACCATTTTATCTTAAACGGCAAGTTGTTATTAGAGCAGCTAAAGCAGTTGAAATGATATTATCTCTTGATAATATTATTTGAGCATCATCACGACCTAGTCATCATTAAATCCGAGCAATTGGAACATGTGATTCAGTATTTTTTATATCATTTCATAGACTCTATTTTGTTTTCTTCTTTTAATATCGACATACATTGTAATGTGAAAGGAGTATGTTTCAAAAACACCTCTGTTGTATCCGTGTGATTGTTATTTTATTTAACTCTTATGGATATGTTTCTTGTTATTAAAATCAAAAAGAAAAACCAAAATAATCTTACTTTAATCATGATAAATAAGCTAATGATCGATATATCCAAAATGGTCGACATTTCTGACATCATCTCTATCGATGCTTAGTTTGTTTGAACTACCAGATTCTATTCTGATCATTTTCTCATACAATAAATGTCAAATAATACGAATGTTTGCTTAAATGTTTGCTAATTTCTGTTAAGAGTACCCATCCCCTCTTTTTTGACCAAAATCTTGATTTTGAGCTGGGCATAAAGTATGATAGCCCCAAGTATCCTCTGTAATTAAACACATCATTCGATCCTAAATAGCTTACTGTTACAAAGTTACTGAGTTTAAGTTCATTTTTCATACTAATCATAGCGAATATCTTTTTCTTTTATTGAGCATAGCATACAACACGAGTTTCTTCGAATCTGGTTCCTTACGGCTTCATCTAATTTTGTTCTATTGGACTTAAGTTTTTACCATAGATACTTGAAACTATTCACCACAGGTAAAATCGGTCGTTTTCGTTTTTGACCTTCGGATCTGGATTTACAGGATCCTGACGACCAAGACTCCAGTATCGGCTTCGAGATAGAAGGAAACAGCAGACTTCAAGCACAGAGACTTCAAATTTTTCAAAGACTTCCAGAGACTTCGTAAGACTTTAGATGACTTCACTTGACTTTGAGAAACTTCCAACGACTTCAAGAGATTTTAAAGACTTCAAGGCTGAAGTCTTTGCTATTTCTTCTTCGATAAATTCTTATGCCTTTTGGGATCAATCTCATATTATTTCTTCTATCATATATACATACATACCTACAGTGAGACTGCGCGGAAATATTGGCTCAGTTAATAAATCTTGTAGAGAAAGAAATACTGGTTAGTCCCTCGTTACATTGCAGAAGTGTGTGAATTTGTAGAGGACTAGACATTCACTTAAGTACTATCCTGAATCTGATGAATTAGTAACAAAAGTATTAGTTCAGCACCTAAATAGTGCTGATTTTCGAAGTATTTTTTGAAATACTCGTTGCAGTGGCAACTTTTTTTAAAGTTCATCATGGTGCGACAGCGATACAATAGGATTAGCTTTTCGTTGCAGTACAGCAGCAGTGCGAAAGCTTTTTCATTCCATGACCGCGTTGCACCAGTAACAGATTTTCAGCTGCGATGGATGTCTCTCATGTTAAATTCGATTATAATTTTCATAATCGATTGAAATCCCAATATGATCATATCTGATTGAGGATTCTCAGTTGAATATAATTGATCACTCATCATTAAATCAGATTTTAATTAGACGATGAGATTTTTTTATCGATTTGAATCGCGATGACTATAAAACGCATTTTTCACGAGTTTTTACTTCGAAACTTCCATTTTTGATTATTCTTTTGAACGCTTTGCCTTCACAAGTGATAAATATATTTACTAGACCAACCGTTCACATTCATACCACACTTTCAGATACGATACTAACTGATACTTGCTCATCTACGTGAAAATGCCTATTAAGTGGATTAAAATCGATTAAAGTCGAAGTTTTTAGTAAATTGTAATTAGTTGATAATCAATTATAATTAAAATCATAAACTCAATTATTCTGGAACAGAATCACAATTATAAGTAATTACAATCTGTTTGTTTTGAAAATTATACCTATTATGATAATCGATGATAATTAGATTATAGTGAATTATCGTCTAATGAAAATTTGCTACAAAATTCGATTTTAATAGATTAAAATATTGATTTTCTTACAGACTAATTAGGTTTCTGATTTTGACTATTATGATAGGGTTTTGAAATTTCAATCACATGTAATCAGCAAAATTGTTCATCTGGTGAAGTAATCAAGATAGTTTTACGCTATATGTTAAACACTAGTACTAATGAGTACGAAATGATGTATGAATGCAATCTAATCTTTAGATTTAGTTTTATATTTCTTTGTTGATTGTTACGATTGAAAAGACGAAAAGGTATCTTCGTATAGACAGAAAAGAATACACCTTGTTCATTTCAAAATTCTTTCTTCACCTCAATAAAAGATAAAATGAGTCATAAATGTCATTTCTGATTATTTATCATTTAAAAACAATAACCTATTACTTACAATGAATAATTTTCTTTTAGATAATTTTCCAGCTTTAGATTTAACATAATAATTTGTTTCAAATATATTTATTTCTATTAACTTATGGATAATAAATATTAGAAGTCTTTCCTTACTATATATTAAAAAAGCTTGTTAGCGCAGCCCCTTTGGGGCTAAAATGTGAAAATCACATATACTCTCTAGCCTCATTAAACTAATAAAAAAAACGTAAAATGAAAAATCTCTTGTAGACTATAATTGTATTGCAGGATAATCAATCACTGAACTAAAAAACTCCAATTTCTGCATTTCGAACAAATTTTTTTTCTTTTTTTTTTCTATGGGCATCCTAGTTTTTGTTTTCGTTGTTGCTATTCGATCATTATTTTTCATTTTTTTAAATTCGCTTTTCTTAATTTAGCATTCTTATTTTTATAATCATCGAATTGATTGGCAAATAAGTGTGTTTTACAGATCTATGATATCTACAGCAGATCTTACATACTATCATATATATTAATCAAGTCACAAATAATGATATTCATTATTTTTCAAAATTATAACTTGATCAATTAAAAAAAAAAAATCTCTAGAAAATCTAACACATTTTATTGCCGATTGCTAAGGTCTGTAATGGAGAGATATCTGTAATGGGAGCTTCCATTGCTATGGTGTCTGTAATAGGGAGGAGAGGCAGGAGCCGCGAAAATTTGACCTTACAAACTTACACTCACTATTGTTCTGTCTCATTATTGATTTATTTTCTAAAAGATTCGTCTCTTTTGCAGATTAAATGAGTTAAAAACTTTGCTCTCCTGACTGTTTCGGCACAGATACTCTAATATCAATTAAGATCAAGTCAATATATATTTAATTACTTTCTTTTCGGCATTTTCTGTGATGTTTGAAGAATAAATCAAACGAATCAAAGAACAGCTATTGATGTTGAAAAAATGTCTTTTGAGAACCAAAAAAAAGACAATTGAGCACCTAATTAGTTATATGTGAAAAGAGCACCAAAAAAAGGGTGAAATAAGCACCAATTAGTAAAGTGTGAAAAGAGCACCGAAAAATAAGACAAATGAGCACCAAATTTATTACATGTGAAATGAGCATCAAAAAATAAGATAACTGAGCACCAAATGAAAAAAAACAATGTGAAAAAGATGAGTTATGTCTTAAACAGATAGAAATTATAGTATACACGTATACAATCATTCAATTGTGATAAGGTCAACTGGAATTGATGATTCTCATGACGATTTACTGATCAAGGTGGCACAGAGTGAGGGTATGTATTCATGTGGTTATAGACTAATGAGATCTACGTCCCAACCCTCACCCACAC